GAAAAGGTCCAAAGGGGTAGGGGTAGTGGGAGGCACAGGGGAAAGGAAAGAAGGGAAAGGAAAAAAATGATGAGAAATGGAAAAAATGGAAATAAAGTCTTTGTAAATATGGAAAGGTGGAGGGCATGAAGGGAGGGCTAGGAATTGGGAAAAAATAAGAACCAAGATGCATTATAGTACAATTCCCAATGAGAAATGTAACTGTGTTGTATACCTACAATGTACCAATAAAAGAATTTAATACAAAAATAAAAGTTCAGTTTACCAGAGTGACTACAGAAACCCTACCAGAAAACCAAATAGTTAATAACCCAGAGCCTCATTTCCTCCTCAGATCGCAAAGCAGGGTTTGCAAAGAGACATTTATTAGAATCACCTGGGAAGCCTTTTCTACCTCCACATAGGCCTCAGTGTCCTCTCCCTCTTGCAAAGCACTGTTCTAGCTTGGGGCTTCACTCTGTCCCACATGAAAGGTTTTCTCCATTTTTTTAACTCCTACCTCATTGAAGATTAACGGGGTAAAAAAAATTGAACTCAGAAGACATTAACTTTGTCACAAACATGTTGGGCAAGTCACTTAACCTTTCCTCTGATTTTTGAGGTTCCTTCTTCCAGCTTTGAAATTCTATGACTGGGTGTCATGTCTTTTTTTTGTTTGTTTGGGTGTTTTTGGTACCGGGGATCGAACTCAGGACCTCATGCTTGCCAGGCAGGTGCGGTGCTGTTGAGCTAAATCCCCAGGCCCTCTGCGTGTTATGTCTGAGAAGCCTTTTGAACTGCTAGCATGGAATGACTTGTCTTTTTGGATTTCCAATAGCCTATGCAATACTGTCCTATATTGGTCTCTATTTACTTTTACTCTTTTTTTTTTTTTTCGGTACCGGGAATTGAACTCAGGACCCTGCTCTTGTCAGGCAGGCGCGGCGCCACTGAGCTAAATCCCCGGTTCCTCTATTTACTTTTATATAAAAATATTTTCCCTTCCCACATATTTAGTTTAAAATACAGTTTAAAAGTTTATTTTGGGGGACAGGTAGTGCACCTTCTACCTAAATCTCAAGTCAACTCAGGGAGTGTCTGAAGGTAATCAGTTAAGTATTTATATTGATTTGCTGAAAGCAATGATGTCCTTTCTTTCAAAGTCCTAGAATTGTATTTTACATCAGTACTGTCTAGTAGAAATATGTGAGCCACAATGTAACTTTAAATTTTCTTGTAGGTCTGTTTAAAAAAATGAAGAAACAAATGAAACTAATTTCAAGAATATTTAACCCAACATATTAAAATATTAGCATCTCAACATGTAGTCAATGTAAAAAGCATTGAGAGTTTACATTCTTTTTTTTTTTTTTGGTAATCTCTTCAAAATCTGATGCGTAGTTTACACGTACATCGCATCTCAGTTTAAAATAGCCACATTTGAGTGCTTGGTAGCCCCCTATTAAACAGCCCAGTTCTGCAGTATTGGGCCGCTTTCCAAACGGATTGCTGAACTTATTTTTCTATTCATAAATAATGTCTAGCCAGAGAGGTGCAAAGATGAATCAGATTCGTTCTGGTAAATGATATATTTGTAAATCGCTAGGTATTATACAGTGTGGTGGGTGCTGTGATGGAGTTGCACAGAAGAAACCCCGAAGGTAGCTGAGGGGCGCAGGGGCGCGCAGGGGCGCGCGGGGGCGGGGGGAGTCAAAGAAGGTTGCACAGAGGAAGTAACATTTGACCTGGGAACTAGGTGGTCTGACGGAGACCTGCTGTGGGAAAATAGCAGTCGCAGGTTACCCCTTTATCTGGGCTAAGGAGTGGCTCCATAGGGTGCCAACTCGAGGGCGTAGGGCTGTGTGCGGAGAGGAGGTGACGTGAAGCGCAACAGGTTAGCGGAGGACTGGTTGGGAGGAACCCGGAGCTCCATCTGGTGGGTGACAGAAACTGGAAGGGGGCGCCACTTGCACTTCGCAGTGGTGGGACCAGAACTCCGAACTGTGAGAGCGGCGCGGCAGCTGGAGCGCCTGGCTGTCGGGATTCCTCAATTTAGGGAGCGACTCGCGAGGTAAGACGCACTCCTGACCTGCCCCTAGAGCGCACCTGTTCCCGCACTCGCCCTCACACGCTTCCTGGCGCTCGGAATTCAGCGTCGCCACCCCTCAGTCTGAGACCCCACTAAATTTCTCAGCCCAGTGTCGGCCACGAAAATCAGATCATAAAACAGCGCCTAGGATTTTGCTTGTGTGTTTGTTTTTAACAGATGCTTATGGCTTATAACAGGTTTCCTGGTAAAATGAGTCTATGGAAACGGTTGCCAGGGCCGGCAAATTGCTGCTCCCAGGAGTCCGTCGACGCGTTGGTAAAAATTTAGGGACTGGCCAATGCAGCGCCACTTCCGGTGTCGTTGTTGTTTTCGCGATTCACTTTAGCAAGGTTGTCTTTGACCCCGGAAGTGAATTCTTTTGGGTTCCTCCCTCCCCAAGATGGCAGCGTTTGAAGATGGGTTACAACTGCCTAGACTTCCCGAGCTGTTCGAAACCAGCAAACAGCTTCTGGAGGAAGTAGAAGTAGCGAATGAACCCATCGGCTCCAGGATAATCCAGGATAAAGTGTTCAAGGGACTGGACCTACTTGAGAAGGCTGCTGAAATGTTATCGCAGCTCGATTTGTTCAGGTATGGGGGAAAGGGTAATAATGGCTGAGAGCGAAGGTAATACTGGTTGTCAGGGATGGAGCCATTGTGTTTGGGTGGAGAAGATGTTTAAGATTAAGAGCCTTTTTTACCTACTTCTCACTGCGATCATGTTTACGTTGTTTATATTGTCAACCTCTCATCTGAGATGGTTGATGTCCCACAACTCTGCTCTCTAGTGTCGGCTGATTGCATAGGCATTGGGTGTGAACACAGCCACTTTGAAACTGGCTGCTGTTGCCATCGTATCACTCCCTCCCAGCCCTCCTCTTTCCCAGGAAGCAAGGGCCACAGTTTAAATGCTAAACCAGGCTTCAAGGCCTCCTTTTTGCTCTTTCCAGCCGAAATGAAGATTTAGAAGAAATTGCTTCCATCGACCTGAAGTACCTGATGGTGCCAGCGTTTCAAGGAGCCCTCACCATGAAACAAGTCGACCCCAGCAAGCGTCTAGATCATTTGCAGCAGGCTCGAGAACATTTTATAAACTACTTAACTCAGTGCCATTATTATCATGTGGCAGAGTTTCAGCTGCCCAAAACCAAGAACAACACAGCTGAAAATAACACTGCTAGTTCCTCGGTGGCCTGTGCTAACCTCATTGCAATTGCATCTCAAAGACAGGCTAAAATAGAGAGGTGGGTCAATAGCTGCAATTCGAGAGGTACACAGTGGCAATGCAATTGGGGGGGGGGGTGCATGTGTTTTTGTGTGTGTGTAAGACAAAATGGTGTATGTCTTGATTCTTATTGAGCATAAGCCCTGGGGAGAGTAAACTTTCCTGAGTTTTTTTAAAAGCCTCTGCCTTTGTTGAGGCGATTATATCTGACTTCTGCTAGCTTATGGTTGCGAATGGCAACAAAGTAGTTTAGCAAAGTGCCTCGCAATCTTTTCCACATCCCAGCATAATGATATACATATGAGGTAAATATCTCTGGAGGGCACATATCTCAGCGGTATTGTGCATTTGTGTTCTGTTTATTGAGTCCTTCTGTTCTAACAGGCATACTGAATCACATGTGTAATATCCTAAACTGATTGATCATAGTCCTGGCACCACTTTATCATGTGACCTTGAAAAGTTGCTTATCATAATCATTTTTTAAAATCTTCAGTGGGTGCTCAGTGTCTGGGGACTATGCTAGCCACTGAGGATACAAACTGTATAGGCATTTGTATGAGTATGAGTGGTCTTTGCCTTGGAGGTGTTTATACTCTGGTGAGGAAAATGAGTATAGAAACAGAATATCACTATAAAATGATGTGATAAAGAGATGCACAATGTACTGTGAGAGCACAAAGGGAGGGCACATAGCCAAAGGAGCAAGGGAGAAGAGAAGGCTCCCTGGGAAAGGTGATTCCTGTCCTTTGTTAAGGATAAATAGTATCATCCAGAGGAAAAGAGGAAGGCATTAGCCAGCAGAAATAATGGCATTAGAAAGCTGCTGGGGCATTAACCACTTTCCAGTCCAATTATTTAAATACAGATTGACCAAAAATTGTGTATTTTTCATTAATTTTTATAAGATACCATGAAGTATAAAAATGACAATTTTATTAAATTTATTCAATACAAAAATCAACTGGTTGAAATGACACCTGCCCAAGTGATGCTCAGGGTAAACTGTCAAGTGGTTAAGGAAACTGCTGGAGTGGGGATATGTGAGAGGGGAACAGCACTCAAACAGTTAAGTAATGCTGAAACACAAAGATTGTGAAAGGCAGAGGGGAGGAATGATGCCTAAGAATGTTGTAGGATCAAGACCAAGGTGCACTTGGAATGTGAGAAGGGCTTGTTGCTAAGAGCTTGGGAAGCTGTTTGAATCCCAGCTCCATCATTTAATTACTCTATGATTTAGGGCAAGTTACTGACCTTCCCCAGCTGTAAAATTGACGTAATAAAAGCTCTTTCCTCAGTATCTTATGAGGACTAAAAGAGAAATACAAATAAAGCATTTAGCACAGTATCTGATAGAGTAACCGCTCAAAATCAGCTGTGATTACATATTTGTGGCTAAGAGTGGATTGCAGAGCCAGAGACCTGGGTTTGAATCCCAGCTTATATTTATAAGCCATTGAATTTTGGATAATTTATTTAGCCTATCTGAGCCTCAGATGTCCTCCTATGTGAAATCTCAATAATAATGATGCATATTTCATAGGGTTAAGCATAAATGAAATAAACACATAAAATAACATAGTATCTAATACATACTTTTTTTTTTTGTACCAGGGATGGAACTCAGGACCTTGTGTTTACGATGCAGGTGACAGCACCACTGAGCTAAATAACAGGCTGTAGTACATAGTATTTTATAAATGTTAACTTCTTTTTAGGTTGGTCACTCTAAAGGGCTTGAGTTGGTAACTGGGATCCACTAAAAAATTTTATTTCTTTTACAAAAGTGACATGGTCATACTTGCATTTTAAATATCACACTCTAGACCCAGTTAAATCACAGAGGTGATGACAGCTTACTAGGGCAGTGACAGAGGGATAGAATGAATATATTTATTTAGGAGGGTTTAATCTGCAAAAAACCTGATGGACTGATTGTGGGAGGTGGAGTAGAAGGAAACAGCAAAGAAGATGTCCATGTTTCTGATTTAGGTGGATGGCTGTAGAATTTACTGAGATGGAGAGTAGAGTAGGAAGAGTGGATCAGGGAATGGGGAGAATATAAATTCAGTATTAGGACATGTTGAGTTTAAGATACCTGGAAGACATCCAAGTAGAGGTATCTGATAGCATGAAGCTCAGAGATGAAGTTTGGTCTAGAGAGCTAAAAATTGGTTGATTTATTCAACAAATATTTATTGAGATCTGATGTGCTGGGAACTGTTCTAGATATTAGAGAACCAGACCAAATCAATCCCATCAAGGAGCTTTTATTCTAGTGGAGACAGACAATAAGCTAGTAAGTAGTAAGGTAAGTTCAAGAGGTAAGGGCTATGAAGAATAATAAAGTATGGTTACAGGATAGTGATTGACAGTGAGTGATTTTGGGGAATATAGGATAGACTGATACAAAGTAGAATTCAGTATCCTATCCCCGTAAGACATTGAGAGTAGCCCATTGACATATAAACAGTGAATTTTGTACCCAAATAATTATTCAAAAAAGATTATAAATACCATAGAGATACAGTGTTGTGGAGAAAGAAAAGAGAGTGTTCACATCTGACTGGAGAAATGAGGAAAAGATTTCAGAATGTAGCTACATGCAAGCTGAGTCTTAAAGGATGGTTAAAAATAGAAGTTATAGATTTTCCTGAATGTAAGTATGTAAAACAAGAATATTTTAAAAATCAAAAATAAGCCTTAATTCTAGCACTCACAGATGTTATTGTTACCTTTCTGGTATATTTGAGTATATAGTTATTTTAGCTAATAAATTTGGAATAATTCTGTAAATACAGATTTTTATCTTGTTTTTTTAACCTAATATATTGTATTTCCCCATGTCTCTTTCTTTTTTTTTTTTTGAGAGAGAGAGAGGGTCTCGCTATGTAGTTTAGGCTGGCCTTGAACTTGCTATGTAGCCCAGGCTGGCCTCAAACTCATGGCAATCCTCCTGCCTCAGCCTCCTGAGCGCTGGGACTACAGGCATGTGCCACCACACCCCCATGTCTTTTGAAACTATAATTTTTTTTTTTTTTGGTACCGGGGATTGAACTCGGGTCCTTGCGCTTGCAAGGCAGGCGGCGAAACCACTGAGCTAAATCCCCGGCCCTGAAACCATAATATTTAATGGTCATGTAATATTCCATTCTATACTTGTATTATAATTATTTAATCTGTTGGCAAATATTTAGACTGTCTTTTTGCTATCCTGAGTAATACTATGACAAATTTTTTTGGTATGGGATTGAACCCAAGTCCTTAACTTCTGTCACTATTCCCTTGGGTAGATTTCTAGAAGGATCAGTGACTGGATGAAAGGGTTTGACTGTTTTAAGGCTCTTAGTAATAGTAACAATGTTGCTTTCTACAATAACAGTTTCACAGTATGTGCTGCTGCATTAGTCCTGGATGTTTATTTAGAAACTTAGAAAATGCATTTAGGCAAACAGAAAAAGGTATACTATTATTTTGGTTTCTTTGGCTTGATCATTGAACATTTTTAAAGTATCTGACAGATGAGATGTAACACTACCTTTGTGCTATTGGTTCCCATATTCATATACTGCCCAGACCCCTTGTAACCATCAGATCCATACTTCTAATACCCTTGGATGTTTCGCAGAAATCTCAGACTTAATATGCCATACAATTAAATCATTTACTTTTTTTTTCTTGGTGCTGGAAATTGAACCCAGGGCCTCACACATGCTAGGTCAGTGCTCTACCACTGAGCTAAATGCCCAACTCAAACTCTGCCTTTTTATCCCAAGTGTGCCCCCATGCCCAGGTCTTTACTATCTCAGTAAGTTCACCACGGTTTGCCCAGATTTGTAAGCAAGAAACCTAAGTGTTAGCTTCAACTCCCTTTTTTCAGATTTCTTCATCCAATCCATTAGTCAGTTCTGTCTACGCAAGCTATCTTCTATCCTTCTATTGCTGTCTCCACTAGCATATCTCATTCTAGGCCATCAGAATCTCTCAAGATAGCCAAACTACTGACTGCAGTGCCCTCCATGACCTGTTGCCTGTCTCTCTGATCTCATTGTGTGTCATTTTCCCCTTACTCATTAGATCTAGCCACAGTGGTTGTCTTTCACTTCTTTAGACAGATGCAGCTCTTTTCTTGTATAGAATCTTTGTACATGTTCTTTTTGCATGGAATACTGTTTATACAGCAAATTCTTTATGTTTTAGGTCTCAGTTTAAATGTCACTCTTTGGAGAGGCCTTTCCAGACTAGTCTCCTTAAAGAGTTAACATCTTTGATTCTCTGTCTTTGCCCCATGTTTGTATCTTTTATGGCACTTTGCTTATGTGCAGTTCTTTCTGGGTTTTGTCTCTCCCCTACTAGAATGTGTACTTCATGAAGGCAGAAGTCATTTCCCTCTTCTTCAGTGTGGTATGCCTAGCACAGGGCCTGGCCTGTAGGAGGTGCTCAAACATTATTTACTGTTGACAAACAGGAGAAATAACATGAGCAAAATCCCAAAGGCAGATAGATAGCAATATGTACAGGGAATAGATAATAGTCTAGTTTGGCAAAAACTAAGAATAATATAGGTAGAGATCTGCATTGGAAGGTAATGTGTATAGAATATTGAAAAGGAAGAGAGGCAGAAAGACAACAGTACTGCCAACTAGGATCAAGTGATAAAAATGAACTTACAGCTATCAGACTACATTTGCAAGAAGTGTTTAGAAAAATTATTGGGAGCTGCAGATGTAGCTCATGGGTACAGTGTTTACCTAGCATGCACAAGGCCTGGGTTTGATCTCTAGCACCACAAAAGAAAATAATACCCAAATTATTCACATCCTTATTTTCTCTATGTCCCCCCATCCATGACTTTAGATACAGAGACTATCATAAATGAAACACCTAAATGGTATGTCTGTTCTCTCTCAAACCTTTTTCTTCATATATATTCTCTTAATTCCCATGTTTGAAGAGTGACTGTGAGTTTGGTTGATTAACAACACCTCCATTCTTTTGACAGAAATAAAGTGGAAGCTGGGTAAGTAATGAGTCTAGTTTGGGATTTACTGAATTTTAGTCCTAAAATGACAACTGGCTAGCCATTTCCATAGACAGATAGAAATATGCAACTAAAATCAAAAAGACTGTTTTACAATTGATGCAAAAAAATTTAGGAGCCCATCGCTTTGATGAATATGGATGAGTTTGCCAAGGTAAACCATGTAAAAGAAAAAAGCTAAGGAATAAACCTTGGGCCAAGCTAAAGGAAAAAGAAAAAGAAAAGAGCAGAGATAAGAGACTCACCAAAGTACAAATTAGCAGGGGGTAAAGAACAGATATTGAGCTCTCTGAAGCCTCTCCGTATGTATCTTACCTCCATATTGTAGCATTTAATTCATGTTACTCACAGTAGAGCTGTCAGTCACTAGACTTGGAACTTCTCAAGGTCAGAGACCTTGACTAATTGATTGTATCTTAGTATCCTAATTGTATCCCTTGGTGCCCAGTCCAGTAATTGAATCATGGTAAGAACTTGGAGGTGTTTTGGGAGGGATGGATAAAATGGTAATCTGAAAGATGAAAGCAATATGGTATAACAGAAAAAGATTCTTTGGAATCACAGGCATGAGGTGACCAATTTCACTTACTAGATGAGGCATCACCTAGCCTCAATTTCCACATGCCAATGTTTGTATCTCTGCTTACAAAACATTTTCATATCCATTTTTCCATTTGATTCTTTTAACCCCATGAAGTAGACCCTCATTTTAAAGATATAGAAATGGACTGACAGTTGACTTGAGCAAAATTACATAGCTAGTTGGATTTAAACTCAGGTATTTCCCGGTTCTCATACTGTTGCCTCTAAAACATAGAAAAGGAGGGTCCTTATTTGAAATGGTAAAAAATAAAAAAGGTGGATTGAAGAAAGGTGTTTCTAAGATGGAAAGGCACCAGTTGAGAGAAAAGTTGTAACTGCTAATGACAGGGAGGTGAGAATGGGGCCTGGAAGGATGTGAGTGGGAGACTAGATGATAGGAAAAGTGGAGTAACACAGACAGTTCCTTTAAAGACAAAAGTAAGGGAGGGTGAACAGGGCACTGTGGCACACACCTGCAGTTCCATCTGTTTGGGAGGTTGTGGCAGTATGGATTATCCATAAAAGATAAACAAAAAGCCAAAATTTGATCATAGGGGTTTGTAGTTAACCCATTTGACACAAAGTTTAAATTCCTTAGCTCATCAGCTTATAAACAGAACAAAGGAATGGTGAAAGTTGCCTAGAGTCAGAAGGATCACAGGGATAAGAGATTCTAGGGTGATAAGAGAGGTGTTTCTTTGTAATATCCTACCACAGGAAATCTAGGACAGTGACAAAAGTGTAGGACAGTGGTTGTTGGCCCATGCTTCGAAGAAGGCCTAAGATTCCTTCTTGGTTAGTGTTGGTAGCTTTCCTCTGATTTCACCAAAGCAGAATTTATCTTACTAGCTTTCAATATGAGCTCTCATTTGAAGAAAGGCTTCTTTTACCAAGATAAAAAAGGTTTTTTAAACATGCTAAAAGAACACGTACTGAGGAGCCAGAAGTCTAAAAGATAAAAAAGAGCCAAGTCATAGAAGCAAGGAAGTGGAAAAGAAGGAAAGGAGCAGCAGAGCATATAAGCCATACACACAAGGAGGATGGAAAAAGAACCTTACTCAAAGGACCTCTTGATAACCCAGAATTTACACTGGGTTGTATACATTCCTATTGTTTGTCTTGTGACTTAAGTCTTTCTGGAAAGGGTAGTGGTAGCAGTAGAACTGATTAAACATCTGGAAATAATATCCTCAATAGCATTCATGAGCTAGGAATTGACCTTTGTAGTGTTTCACTCAGAAGACTACCATGATGATGGTATAACAGTTGTTTGTAACAGAAAATGCCCACTCGTTGAGTAAAAGCAGAAGAGCCTAAAAAAACTTTTTATAATAAAGTGTTCCTGGAGCACTAGTTCTTGGCTTTTCATGGATCATGGACCCTTCTGATAATTTCATAAGACCTCCCCAGAAAAAAAGAAAATATACATGTAGCATCTGTATAAAATTTCAGGAACTTCAAACACCGCCCCCCATTCATTCCGTGGACTTCAGGCTAAGACCCTCTGATTTGGGTGAACATCTGCAGAGGAATTTCTGGTTCTGGACTTCTGGAATGGGGTTCCAGGCAAACAGTTCAAGAAAAGAGCAAAGATAAGAGACTCACCAAAGTACAAATAAGTTCCAGGCAAACAGTTCAAGATACTTCCCTTGGAAATCTTGGTGTTTTTTCCTTGACATCACTGTCTCAAGCCTTACATCCAATAAGTCAGTAAACTTGACCTGTTTTATATTTTAAACCTACATTTCACTGCTTCCAACACTACCTTCCTATTTCAAGTCACTATCTCTCACCTCATTTGTGGCATTATCCTCTTAATTACTTTTCTGGCTTATACCTTTTTGTCTCAGCCCCTACTCCACACAACTGGCTTTATTATTTTCTTAATCTTAATGTTCTATGCATGTTACGTATTCTACTTAAGAACCTCCATTGGCTTTGCCATGTCACTCAGAATACCCCATGGTATTTGGTATTTGGGTATCATAGCCTACAAAGTTCTGCATGTTATGGTCCTGGCTACCTTTCTGACCTCATTTCCTGTTAGTCTTCTTCACTTCATTCCACCCTCACTGGCCTTATTTCCCAAATATGCCAGGCCAGGTACTCTTCCCTCCCAAGGGCCTTCGTATTTTTCTCTCTTAGTACCTTCTTCCACATATTGGTATAGCTTACATCTGTGTTTTCTTGGAGCCTTTACTCAGATATTACCACTTAAGAGAGGTCTTTCCTGACCACCTTGAATATAATAGCACTCCTACTTTCACACTATCCCTCTATCCACTTGACCATGCTTTTTACTGCTTCATAGTACTTGTCACCACCTGACTCATCTGTTTCTTTTATCTTCTCCCTCTAGAATGAAAGCTTCATGAAAGCAAGGATGTTCTTTTATAAACTTGTTTCTGGTGCTAACAATACTTGTCACACAATAGGTACTCGAGGTATTTGTCAGATGAATGAGAGACGACTGACAGAATGATGCATACTGAAAAGGACAGCCAAGGTGGTTATTGAGTCTTTAGATAAAGAGTCAGAAGAACTGGGAATGTTTTGCCTAGAAGAAAAGAAATGACCATTTTTTAGGCTGTTTCACAAGAATTCCTGCATCAATGGCAGATGAGCCTTAAGATATTGTAATTCTTTGAAGGTATAACTCAAATAGAACCCTTATGGGGAAGCACAGTGATACTAAGCATTCAGCTAAGTAAAGGTTGGTAGAATCAAATGGCTAAGATACTCTTATCCCTTACGATGATTGCAGGACTCATTGAGATCAGGTCACATCTATATTTTTCTGGCTTCAGAATGTTAAATCTCAGTCCTTTCTTGACTTTGTAGTCTGGTAAACTGGTAACAAACTCGGTTATAAAATCAGTATTCCTGCCAATGTGGAAATCTGCATACTGGACATTTGCAAAGGTAAAATATTACTGTGGCTTTCTTTTGAAAGAATTTCTCTTTTGTTTTTAAGTTCATGGGTAATGCTTTTCTGTGGAACAGATACAGGCAGAAGAAAGAAGTGGAGCATAGATTGTCTGCACTGAAATCTGCAGTGGAAAGTGGTCAAGCAGATGATGAGCAAGTTCGTGAATTTTACCTCCTTCACCTTCAGAGGTGGATTGGAATCAGTTTAGAAGAGATTGAGAGCATTGACCAGGAAATAAAGATCCTGAGGGAAAGAGTCTCTTTAAGAGAGGTAAGCCTGGTCACTGCCCATACAAGAAAAGCTGCCATCAGAGATTTGAATATTCTTTGGGAAAGTAATACAAAATCTTTATACGTTTTCATAAAATCATTGTTCTTATTAGCATGAGTGGAGAAAGGCTGATGGTTTACTGAGGTTGCTTTCTCTTTAGCTTAAAGTAGCATTTCCCAGTGCTGTCTAACCTGTAACACACTTCTAGTTATTTTTAATTTTGTGGTATAGCATGGGAGACAGACTTTCCTGAAATAAAAAGTAGTTTTGGCCATGGGAAGTTGTAGCTATTGAAGGAAGGCATAAGGAGGGAGAAAGGCCTTGAAAATTTGCTTAACTGTAGTAGGAAAAGGGGGAAAACAGAATTGGAGAAGAGAGAGACAAAAGAGGATGAAACAAAAGGCCAGGGAATGCATTTAGGTTAAGGAAAAAATTACACCACAACCTTATACAATAATGCGCTTATACCTTTAAATCTCCCAATTATGCAAGGTCCTGAGTTCAATTCCCGCTACCAAAAAAAAAGAAAGAAAGAAAGAAAGTAGCGTTGCCAGGGATTTAGCTCAGTGGTTCTGCCGCCTGCCTCGCAAGCACAAAGACCCAAGTTTGATCCCTGGTACCAAAAAAAAAGTCACTACTTACTTCAGGGCCAGGGATGTAGCTCAGTGGTTCCACTGCCTGCCTTGCAAGCGCAAGGTCCCAAGTTTGATCCCCGGTACCAAAAAAAAAATAGTCAAAAGCTTTGGGGCCGAGGATTTAGCTCAGTGGTTCCACCACCTGCCTGCCAAGCGCAAGGTCCCAAGTTTGATCCCCGGTACCAAAAAAAAAAAATCTCCCAGTTAGGAAGCTAGCACTACTGCAGTGACATCTCTATGCACAGAATGCCAGAATGCTGGTAGAGAAAACCTGGTATAACACAGCTTTGGCTATATTTGAAAATAACCTTCTTTTGGAGCTGCTGCTTAAAAAAAAATAGGCTCTGCTTCTACTTGCTGTTTGGTATAGGATACAGTGTGAATTGAGTTGAATTTATTGGCTGGTCACAAGCATTTATTTAAGTCCTCAGAGGAGACTTTTCCTAATCTAATTTGTACTGTTTAGCCTCTGGAGCTCTTGTCTCAGGATAAGTCAACCTAATTCTTTGAGCTAAAGGATAAAAAAATGAAATTAATTTTTTTTTTTTTGGTACCGGGGATCAAACTCAGGTCCTTGCGCTTGCAAGGCAGGCGGCGGAACCGCTGAGCTAAATCCCCGGCCCTGAAATTAATATTCTAATGCCATGTAAGACACCTTATCTACATGACTGGTTTTCAAGCATTTAGAGGCTGAGCTCTTCTGTGTCCTGCCCTGTCCCCTTCATTGGTGATTTTTTTAAAAATTGCTTTCATGTGGTAATGGAATTGTTTATGGAAATGTTGGAGTTGGAACCAAGTGAGTACCTTTTCTTCAGCCATGTTTTGTTTCAATCTGCCCCTAGTATGCCAAGGTTCCATGAAACTTTTTTGTATACCTTTATACAAAAACTGCTAACCTATCCTTCCCCCTTTTGTATAGGAGCATCCATTTTTAAGATACCTAAGAGTTCTTGACAATTAATAGCATAATTATATTTGAAGGGGTTGTGCAAAAGTCTTAGTAATTCAGCTTTTCCATTGAAAGCCAGGCTGAGGAAAAGGGCATCAAATTCAGCTCAAGGCATTTAGATGGATCATAGGAGGAGACTTTAGAATCTCTCTTTGGGGGGGGCAGGTATTTTAAAACCAAGTAATTTTTTCCTTTTGGTAAAAAAAACATCCATGGGAAAACTTTTCCTTTCTCTTTGTAGCAAGCTCCCTCAGGAGGGTTATATTGTAAAGAGCAATAAATAGAAAGCAGATGAATTTTGAGCTTTTGTATCACTAGAATACTTTTTGTTTTGTTTTTTGTTTTTTGTTTTTGGTACCGGGGATCAAACTTGGGACCTTGTGCTTGTGTGGCAGGTGCCGGAACCACTGAGCTAAATCCCCAGCCCTATAATACTTTTTTAAAATAAAGAACAGAGGGGCCGGGGATTTAGCTCAGTGGTTTCGCCACCTGCCTTGCAAGCTCAAGGACCCGAGTTCGATCTCTGGTACCCCCCACAAAAAATAAATAAAATAAAATGAAGAACAGAAACTTATTACTTACAATTTCTAGAGGCTGGGAAGTCCAAGGTCAAGGGGCCCACATCTGATACAGACCTTCTTGCTGCAACATATCATGGGGGAAGAAAAGAGGGCAAGAGAGCACACATGTGTGCATACATGCATACATGAGAGGGGTGGGGGGACCCAACCCATCCTTTCATCAAGACCCCACTCCCATGATAACTAACCCATTTAGCACCAGAATACTTAAGAGCAAGAGCCTGCATTGTAGTGTGGGTAAAATGGCAAATGTACCTCTAATTTTTTTCCCAGGCATCAACTTCTCACTCATCTCTTCAGGACAGACCTCCAATGAAGCCCTTCATACTCACTCGGAACAAGGCCCAAGCCAAGTAGGTAGTATTAGAAAGTGGTTTGCCTTTGTAGCTCATGTTTTTGTGGTTTTATGTCAGTGCATGGTAATACACAGAATGGGCACTATGGAAAATTTATGGCTTCACCTGTGGAGGCTGTTCTGTCATCAAAGTGATATTAACTGTCCTAGCTGGGTATAGTGGCGCACACCTATGATCCCAGCACTTAGGAGGCTGAAGCAGAATTGCCGTGTGTTCAAGGTCAGCGTGGGTTACATGGTGAGTCAAGGCCAGCTTGAACTACATAGTGAGACCCTGTCTCAACAACAACAACAAAAATCAAAGTGGTATTTAACTGTCCTGATATTTTATCCAAGTATGTCTTTCTCAGACATTTGTATAAGGAAGCTAATAAAAAAAGAAGATAAAGAATCTAATAATACACTTAAAAACTTTTTCCATTATTGCCATTCTTGATGCCTTTAGCTGCAGTTCTCAAAAGGACATCTTGTCTGTGATTTAATTTTGAGTTCTTGATGCTATTCCTTAAGGTGGCAAGAGATTCTCTCCTGTACCTTTTAGAGCCATTGACTATAAATTTCCATTCCACAGTGTCATCACTGCTCTGTAGGGCATTAGTTTCTAGAATTACTTATTGGGAGACGATGTGGACTATTTATTTTCTCATGAAGGCTCTTGACTTTAATGCTCCTTTCTGGGCTCTTTTTATACATCTTCAGAGGAGTTTGTATAACTCCTCAGAAGATTGCAGAATAGGGAAGCAAGGCTGAAACAGACACAGGCCTTGTCATTTAAAGTGAAGAGACTTTTTAATGCTGCTATTTGTTTAGTTTTCTGAAGGTAATGTGAATTTTACAGAGTATTTGGAGCTGGTTATCCAAGTCTGGCAACTATGACAGTGAGTGACTGGTATGAGCAACATCGGAAATATGGAGCATTACCAGACCAGGGAATAGCCAAGACAACATCAGGTATGAAGGAGTGGGAAGAAAATACTTGTGCTATTGGCTCCTTACTCCGTCAAAATTAAACTCTGATCAACTATTGTCACTCTTTAGGAACAGAGGTAGTCTGGGCAAAGATTCTGAGTAATAGAAAGACTCTAGGCCAAAAAAGAAGAAGCGGGGGGAGAAAGAAAAAAAAACGTATGGTGGCACATACCTAAAATATGAGCTATTTGTTAGGTTAAGATAGAAGGGTTCCAAGTTCTAGGCCAGCCTGGGAAACTTAGCAAGGCTCTGTCTCAAAACAAAATTTAAAAGGGCTTGGGATGTAGCTCAATGGTAGAGTCCCCCTACATTTGAATCCCAGTACCCCCCCAAAAAGGGGATTTTTTGGTTTTTTTTATCAGCATAGGTTTGGTATCTCTCCAAATATCATGACATAAAAACAGACAGATAGCAAAACAAAAAACCCATGAACAGTAGTTCCACTTCTGGTAATGGTGGAGTAGGTTGTACTAGCCCAACCCCTCATGCAGATAACAATTACAAACTGAACAAAATATATTTTTACAAAAAGAAAACTACCTAAAGACACTAGGGGTGACTGAAAGCAGGATAAAGCGGAAGGAAGTTAGCACTTGGAAGGAGGCAATGGTACTTGAAATTCCTCGAGAGCAGGGACTTTGACTTCTTATATTCTTCGTGTCCAACTTGGTAATGGGATCATAGTAGGTACTCAGAAGTGGAAGGGATAGAAGCAGAGGGTGGCCATCAGAAAGCTGAAAGTAATATAGCAGGGCAGAAAAATCATGGACAGAACTGGGGTGACCAATTCAATTCCTGCCCCTTAACAAATGGCACATCACTCAGCCCTCTGAACCTCAGTTTTCTTTTCTCTTTTGACCCTCTTAAAAGCAGACATTCTCATTCCCATTTTAAAGTGAGAACCTGGTCTCTGAAAACTGATTTACCATACCGTAGTAAGTGATTGGGCTAAGATATAAATTCACATCTTCAAAAGCCAGGTGCTAATACTACTTCCACTTTAGTATAGAAAAGAGTGGCCATTTGAAAGTTTTTTGTTTTGTTTTTTGCTTTTTATCTGTGGGCAGACTGCAGTTTCTGTGATGCAGACTAGCTGAAATGTAGATAGAAACTTGTGGTCATATTGTTTGGGGAATGAGAGACCTGAGTTCGAGGTAACCATAGCAACTGAAAAGTAAAGGATGATATCATAGAGAGAACTACAGAGGAAGAACCCTACTTCTATATATAGACCCTGTGAAAATCTCTGGCTGACTCCTAAACTCTGTTTACAGAATGGTCTCTCGAAGCCCCTTAGCTAGGACTGAAATAACTCAGTGGAGAACTCAACTGTTTCCCTGTGCAAGGGAGATAGAACTTGGCATTTTGGTTCTAGACAGGTTAATTCCCTTCTAGAATGAAAAATTAGTACTCTAGAGGAGTGACACAATGCAGATGCTCTTCAACTTAAGACAGGTTCACATGCTGATGAACCCATTATAAACTGAAAATGTCGTAAGTTGAAAATGCATTTAATGCACCTATCAATCATCATAGCTTAGCAACACAGCATTCTGGAGTACAGACTGTTTACCCTCATGATCATGTGACTGACTGGTTGCCATGGTTTGCTCGTGCTCCCCAATATCAACAGAATCATACTTGATATTGCTAACCTGGGAAAGGATCAAAATTGAAAATTTAGAATAGATTCCACTGAATGTATATCACTTGTACCGTTGTACATTCAAAAAATAGTAAGTTCAGCCATCATAAGTCAGGGACTACCTGTGTATTATTCATAATATCTAGAATTCAATCTTAAGCTACTAGATATGGGAAAAATAGCCAGAAAATGTGACTCATATTTAAGAGGAAAGGAGATCAATGACTACCAACCCCAAGATAATTCAGGTGTTGGAATTAGCAGACAAGGACTTTAAAAAGCTATCATTTCATGTCCTTAAGATCAGAGAGGAAAAATGCTTGCAATGAAAATATAAGAAATCTCAGGAAAAAAACTGTACCTCCCAAAATTTCTGGAACTAGAAGATAAAAATCATCTACCTAAGATTCTATATTAATAAGTTAGGAGAAAAGAGAACAAAGTAAGCCCAAAGTAAATAAAGGAAACAAGAAAGTAGGGAAGTCTAGAAGTGGTGATGGTGGTTGTAATCCATAGAAATTGAACATGTGTAGACCTTTATGACTTGACTATTTCACTCAGTATATATCTAAGCAGAGTGAGACCATAATTGTTCACAGCGGGCTGGGGATTTAGCTCAGTGGTTCCAGCGCCTGCCTTGTAAATGCAGGGTCCCAAGTTCAATCCCCAGTACCAAAAAAAATAATAATAATAATAATAATTGTTCACAGGATCATTATTTGCAGGAGCCCACAGTGGACACTACTCAAATGCCCATAAATACTGAAATGGATAAGTAAATTTTCGTATATTTACACAATGGACTACTATGTAGCAGTAAGGTTAAACTGTAGTTCTTCAGCTATAAGTGACAAATATAGTTGAATCTTGCAAGCCTAATTATGACTAAAAAACGAGATTGTATTCCATTCATATAAAGTTTAAAAACTTTATGTGACTTACATGATTCCATTCATATAGAGTTCAAAATCAGGGTGAAACTTCCATGTGCCACTCAGTGGAATTGGACCTGAGGGGGCTTCTGGGAAGTAAATAATGTTTTGTATCTTAATCTGAGTACTGATGAGTGGATGTGTTCAATATGTGTGAAAATTCATTAAATAGACTTGTATTGATGTACTTTTCTACATGAAATACTTCAAAAATGCTTAAAAAGTAAAATCTCATAGTAATAATTACAATGAAAATAGGTCTCAGTGTATCCCCATGAGCCACAAAATAAAAACAACTAAGTGCAAATCACCCTTAGCCACAGTATGAACAGGTTGCTGGTATCTATAGGGAACTGTGAAAGACCTGACAAACAAAATTCCAAAATACTATATTCACTAAAAAGTATGGCCATCCAATTTAAGAATAGCACTTGAAGCTCAAAAGAGTTTTGTCTTCCAGTAAAAACTAAATGAGTGAATATAGGGACGAATGGTCAGAAAGTCTGAAAGGGACAGAGCAGTCTAATCCTTAATAAATTTGTGAAATTAATCCAGCTCTCCTTCCAGGACAGGGTAGCATACTACAGAGAAATTTCTGAGAATAGAATTGAAATTAAGCAGGTCAGAAATACTACAGAAGAAGAAAAGAGAAGGTCCATGTAAAAGTAGGAGTGGAATTTTAATCAAACAAATCACCCTGTTTCTTTAACCTATGTAAAAACAGCAGAAATGAGGCTACTATGAAGTTAGAAAAACCTCCCTGAGCTATATGCTTCTAAAAGTTCAGAAAAATGAACAAATTGCAGTGATGATTGCACAACTCTGAATATGCCAAAACCTACTGAACCCACTTTTATTGTATGAATTTTATGGTATGTGAAATATATCTCAAAGTTGTTGTTTGGGGGTTTGTTTTTTTGTTGTTGTTGGTTTTTGTTTTTTTTTTTGGTACCAGGGATCAAACTCAGGACCTTGCGGGACGAGGGCGGAACCACTGAGCTAAATCCCCGGCCCTTGGTTTTGGTTTTGATTTTGGTTCCAGGGATCAAACTCAGGACCTTGTGCTTGCGAGGCAGGCACGGTGTCACCGAGCTAAATCCCCAGCCCATAAAGTTGTTTTTTAAAATGAACAGAATTATCAAGGTTAAATCCCACACATTTAATATTTTAAATTATTTTAAGGGGAAAAAAGATAATTGAAAACACTCCAGAAAGATGTGCTCAAAAAACCAGAACAAATCTTGATCTGTCTGAATCTATCTGAACATAATATTTTAGAATGTGGGAAAAGGTATCCTGAAAACATCATAGAACATGGAAGGACCACATAAAGTACGATTAGAAAAACTTTAGATATGTGGAAACAACTTCTGAAAGGAGTCATTTCAGAAAGGAAGGCTGAAGTAGAAGGACAAAAGAATGAGTAAACACAGAAAATGCCCTACTGGGCCGGGGATTTAGCTCAGTGGTTCCGCTGCCTGCCTCGAAAGCGCAGGACCCGAGTTCGATCCCCAGTACCAAAAAAAAAAAAACTCAGAAAATGCTCCACTAAGGTGAAAGTGGAAATTTTAAAAAACTAAGGAAATAAATAAGATTTGAGATAAAGTGACAAGTATTCAAGACATCAAAGAAGGTTTGGCATATGAATAATGATACCAAATTTAGATTCTACTTCAGTGAGATCACATGATACTAGTCTCTCTGTGCCAGGCTTATTTCAGTTACTATAATCTCCAGTTCAGTCTATGGTGTCACATGTGATGGGATCTCATCCTTTTTATTGCTGAATAGTATTCCATTGTGTATATGTACTACATTTTCTTTCCATTCCACAATTGATGGGCACTTAGGTTGACTGCATTTTTTGGCTATTGTCAAGAGTTCTATAGTAAACATGGGAAATGTCTCTTCAACAGACTGATTACATTTTCTTTGGATATAGGCCCAGTTCTGGAATGGCTGGGTTATACAGTAATTCTGTTTTTAGTTTTTTGAGGAACCTCCCCACTGTTTTCCTCAGTAGCTATACTAATTCACATTCCCACCAACAATGTACAAGGGTTCACTTTTGCCAGCACTTGTTATCTTTTGTCTTTTTTGGTAAGTTATCCTAACTGAAGTGATACCTCATTGTGATTGTGATTTGCATTTCCCTGATGATAAGTGATACTTGGCATTTTTTGTATACTTGTTGGCCATTTATATGACTTCTTTTGAGAAAATCTGTTTAGAGCTATTGCCCATTTTAAATTGGATTGTTTGGGTTTTTTGCTATTGAGTTCTTAAGAGTTCCTTATATATTCTGGATATCACCTCCATATCAAGTGTATAGTTTACTAATATTTTCTCATTCTGCAGATTGTCTCTTCATTCTGTTATTTCCTTTGCTCTGCAGAAGCTTTTTAGTTTAATGTCATGCCATTTGTCTATTTTTGCTTTTGTTTCCTGTGCTCCTTGGCTATTATCCAAAAAGTTCTTGCACATTCCAATCTCTTGAAATGTATCCTATGTTTTCTTCTAGTAATTTCATAGTTTCAGGCCTCATATTTAACTCTTTAATCTATTTTGAATATATTTTTCTGACTGGTGAAAGATAGAACTCTAGTTTCATTCCTGTGCATATTCATATCCAAGTGCCTGTTCTTTTTTTCTTTTTTTGGTACTGGCAATCGAACTCAGGACCTTGTGCTTGTGAGGCAGGCAGTGGCACCACTGAGCTAAATCCCCAGCCCCCCAAGTGCATGTTCTTAGCACCTTTTTTGAAGATCAGTTGGCTGTAGCTTCATGAGTTTATTTTCAGGCTCTCTCTTTCATTCCTTTGGTTTGTGCATCTGTTTTTATGCCAATACCATGCTCTTTTGATTTCTGTTTGTAGTATATTTTGAAGTCAGGTAATATGTTTCCTCCTGATTGGTTCTTTTTGTCTTCAAGGTTGCTTTGGCCTTTTTAGTTTTTTGGGGGTTTTTTAATGGCTCCATACACATTTTAGGATTTTTTTCTACTTCTATAAAGAATGTCATTGATATTTTCAGAGGGAGTCCAAATCTCATTTTCTAATACTATCCATCAACAAAGGAATCAGGGCTCCTTAGAGAAGTGGCTGATTCTAGGGCTAGAATAGGAAATATACAAGATGAACCTGAAGCATTTTGTATTAGAAAATAAGAGCTCAAAAAAGTTGAGGTGCTAAAGGGACACAAGAACTGAAATGAGTGTAATCATCCCAAACTGGAATAATTTGAGCATTTTGGGAATACAATAAATACCCATGAATCCATAGTGATAGAAACAAATGATTGAATAAATTAATGAATGAGGGAAAGGAAACAGATCTCCCCTATAATCAGACTAAACCTGGGATAAACCATGATTTATGTAGATGCTCCTGCTTCAAGGAGGTGGAACACAACTCCTCACTACTTAAGTTAGGCTATGTTTTGGGACTTGATTCCAGGGACAGTGTAGCAAGGGAAGACAGATGAGTAACTTTACATTTGGGAACCCTGAAAACACTGCCTTGGTCAGATGATCAAGGTTGTCATCAGTAATAAGGCTGACAGCATAATGTGTACCCTTGATGTGATGTGATAAGAGCACTTCACCCCTGTAGTCTTCTCCTTCAGTACCCATACCCCTAGTCTAATTATGAGCAAAACAGACAACCTCAAATTGAGAACATCCTACAAAATACCTGATTAACACTCCTCAGAACTCCCCAGGTCATCCAGAACAAACAAGTATAGTCTGAGAAATAGTCACAGCCTACAAGAGACTAAGGAGACAGATAACTAAATATAATATGGTATTCTGGATAGGATCCTGAAACTCAAAAGGGACATTAAGTAGAAACTAAAGTAATGTAAAATATGGATTTTATTTGTCAACATTGTTTCAGTTTTGGATCATTAGTTGTGACACATAAGCCATAGTAATATGTTAACCATAGGGCAAACTTGGTGAACTATCATCTCAATTTTTCTGGAAATTTAAAAATTCTAATGTTAAAAAGTTTTTAAAGTATTTTGTAAAAGCATTGCAGTTGATTGAAACCTATCAAATATGTTTAAACCCATGAGTTTATAATTATATTTTAAAACAGAAACAAATTGCTGTAATAGGGAACCTATTTACTTTCTTGAAAAGTGGTAAATTATAGGAAAGAATAAACTATTCATCTTTCCTACTGGCTAAGATGAGGGGAATAGATGAGGGGAAGCCCCTCTTTATAAAAGTATTCCAGTTAAAAAATAAATAAATAAAGTTAAGAATACTACTTTTTTGAAGCCCCCAGTAAATTAATGGTTCTAGGGATTGACCATAAGTAACTGCTCACATCACTATGTTAATCAGCTTCCATTGGTAGGACAAAGCACCTGAAATAATCAACTTAAAGGGAAGAAAATTTTAGTGGGTTCATGGCTTCAGAGGTTTCAGTTAGTGGTTGGCTGGCTCCATTTCTTGAATGGGGAGCATATAGCAGAGCAAAGCTACTCACCTCATGATGGCTGGGAAGCAAAGAGAGAAGGGGCCTGGGGTCCCACTATCCGCTTTAAGCACATCCCCAAGACCTGAAGACTTCCCACCAGCCCCACATCCTAGTTTCCACCATTTTCCAGTAACATCATAGCAACCAAGCCCTTTAGCACAAGCGCCTTTAGGAGACATTCAAGATCCAAACCCTGTCACAAGTGAGACAAATGTGTTTCCTGATAAAAGAATGCAGTACCACTTACCATTGTGCCAAAGACATCCAACCTGAGTCAAATGAAGGCTCACCATCCAGTTGCCAACCTTCAAGAGACAGAAGAACATATTAGACTGTATCATGAGTGTGCTATCAGCAAAATCCAGGTTTGGGAAACTACAGATCAAATGGTCCCAGCTTCTTCAATAGATAACTTGTAAGGAAAGAAAAGAGTGGAGGGGGAACCTGGTGGTTAAAAAAGATTTCAGAATATTTTAAAATAGGCAAGACTAACCTCAAAAACACTGTGCTAAATGAAATCAGATACAAATGACAACATTTTGTTTATATTAAATGTCCAAAACAGGCAGATCTATAAAACCAGAAAGTACGTTAGCAATTCCCTGGGCTGGAGGGAGGGAAGGAATGGAAATTAACTGTAAATGGACACAAGGGATCTTTCGGGGATGGTAGAATTTTTTAATTGGATTGTGGTGATGGTTGTACAACTCTAAAATCACTGAGTAAAAAATGAACATAGTACAAATGGGCAACTATCTGGGGATGCACACTTGGGTGGTAAAGCTATAATAAACTCTTGGAAGTTATTACTGTGCAAAGCTATATAGTTGTTACTTTTGCAGGGGGAGATAGGGCTTGTGAATTACATTATGCACATGGAGAGACTTTGGAGAAGGCCACAGAAGATCTATTTATTGACTCAAGTTGAGACTGTAAAACCTTATAAAAACTTATTTCTTTAATATATTTGAGTGGTTTCCAGTATTTTTTATTTTACAATAAAGGGGTTAAAAGAAGAAAAGAACACCAGACTCTTAAGTTGTTAGATCAGATCCTCACGTATTTCATTCTTTGTTATAGTTGTAGAATATTTCTCATTGTCAAGTTCAGGGTAGTCAGGAAAATGCTGCTTCACTTCACAAAGGAAAAACGATGCAAAAGAGAGATGTAGCAGTTTGTTCATTGCTTTTTCGTGTACACTGCCTAATAAGTGCCATTGGGACCTCAGACCTGCTCTTAGCACATACAAAACATAGGCATTCTTTTCTGGTAGGTCCAGCTGCCCTGTGGTTTTCAATTTTAGACACACAGCAAAAATTGTATAACTAGGCTAGGTGTGGCGGTGCACACCTATAATCCCAGTAGTCTGGGAGGCTGAGGTAGGAAGATTACAAGTTTGAGCCCAGCCTGGGTAACTTAGCAACTTAGCATGATCTTGTCCCAAAATTTAAAAAGGGCCAGAGGTATAGATCAGTGTGAAGGCTTAGGGTTCAATCCACAGCGTGTGTGTACACACATGTACACATATAACTGTAATAAAATGGGTAGAAAAGGAAAAATTGCCTGTAATCCCACTCCCCTGATAATTCACAAGTCATAAAATCATAAATATTTTTCCTTTAGTGGATTGTTGAGGATTTTATTTTTATTGATAGTGATGACTTCAGAGGCAGGGGTTGTTGGCCATTTTAGCCAAAATTCTTTCTCAAAATGGAATTCATTCTGTGTTTTTGGCTTCTTGTGAAAACCACCAGAGCATCTTACTATTATTATTATTTAGTATGTAATATATGAAGCAATAGAAGTGCTCTTCCCCACTTCTGCTGGGCTTAGGGCAAGCAGCTAGCCATATTCCTCTTACCATCTGAGGTTGTGTTCAGAGTGGACATTGCTTGTTAGCATTCTTTTAATATCCCGTTTCTCACTTTCCCGCTTTAGTTGATTTTAAAAGAGTGGCTCAGCAACAGGAAGATGAAGAAAAGGAGAAAGAAGAAGATGAGAAGGAACTCCACAGAGCACGGGAGTGGGATGACTGGAAGGACACTCATCCGAGGGGCTATGGCAACCGACAGAACATGGGGTAATCTTCCCACAATGACAGGATTCTAAGGTATAAACCTTTCCTGCCAAGGAAACTGCCACCTTGCCCTCCCTGGCTTCTGCTTCAGCTATGTACAACAAAGGTAGAGATGCTGACTCTTGCTTTGCGTTCAATAAAGCGTGAAACAATTAAGTGTGTATTTGTACCCTAGATAATAACCAGTAATCTTGTCTTCGCATTACTAATTCTCCTCATGGTGTATTCTGATTTCCTAAGTGGACAGAAAAGTACCCTGAGAAATGGCTCTGTATAATCAATGGTGTATGAATTCTCTTTAAAATGAAATAATAAAACCTCTTCTATTCCATGAGTCTGTGCAGAAATGTGGATACCAGCTGCTTTCTTGTAAGGAATGTGGTGTGGGATGGGTCTCTGGGCTTATGGTGCAATCCCAGTCTCCTGCCTTTGTCCTGGGCAGGGAATTGCCTAGCATCAGAGCTGCTCAAATGTTCTCCTTCCTCCTGGGCACATGGTGTGAGCTGCAAGCAACACCCCAATCTGTGAAATCACAAAAGCCAGGACTTTCCCAGCCACACAGCACTGTTCCAGGAATTAGAGCTGTAGGTAAATGGACCATAATGGACTAAAGGCTATTTTCTAATCCTACTGATCTAGCCCTCTTTGCCTTGCCCAGGAGAGACAAGTGCGCCAATGAAGGTGCTATCAGAAACACCTGTGTGGAGCGACCAGGGTCTCCCCCTTCTAGAAACACTGGCCTTGACATCCAGGTGAAGAAGCTCAGGCTTCAGCCTAGCTCTTAAAGTGGCCGCATTAGACCCTGTTGGCCCTCCTTGCCTGTGTCATGTGACATCTGACGCAGAACCAGTGTTCTGGTAAATGCCATGTTTTCCTGGCTGTTTAGGTGCCTATATGTGGGTGTGGAGGAGGGGGAAAGCACAGATGACACTGAAAGCTATCAACTTTCTGGAGTAGAAAGAAGACACTGTCCTCAGCTCTTGGGTGATATCCTGTAAAAGGAGCCATGTGCTGAAATAAATGATCTGCACAGGAAACATCCTTTTGTTCTGTGGCTTTGGTACACTTAGGTTTTCTTTTAAGAGAAAGATGACTCAGCCCTAACTTCTGGAGTCTGGCTGAGGAGAAGGGTTTGAAAAGACTATTCCCTCTTGGGGGCAGAAGGGGCTGCCACGTGATGAGAAGGTTCTGTTTCGTGGGCAACGACAGGACTACTGGTAATATATTTGTACACTGCTTAATAAAGGACTCTTCACTCTCACACATAAGCACCCCCAACTGGTTGAGCACAAATTAAATTCCCTACAGATGAAGCAAATGATGTTTTCAGCTCTCTAATTGTTGCCAAGCTGCCTCTAGCTGTGGCCTGTTTCCTGCCTTTGAAATTCTACGCTGAGTTCATTTCCCAAACCTGGCCTGGTTGGGGTCTCTTGGTCTGGGTCCATTTAAGATTGGGCCTTTCAGAAGCTCCAGCTCAGTTAAGCCCCCATACCTGTTCTGATATCCAAGAGGCAAATCAGACACGGTGGATTTGAATCCTGGCCTTAAAAAGTTCAAGCTGTGTGACACTGGGCAATAAAATCAGAACTGCTTGCTCAGTGTGGGCAGATGACCTGTCTCCTGGAACTGTGAGAATTCAATGAATAATAACAGGCATCTCTTAAGCAACTAAAGAATAAATGCCTTCTGTTGGTATCAGCTCAATGGCTGTCATCTGTCCACGAAGAAGGGACAGGAAGGGCCGGGGATTTAGCTCAGTGGTTCTGCCTCCTGTCTCGCAAGCTCAAGGACCTGATTTCGATCTCCGGTACCAAAAAAAAAAGGGGGGGGGCAGGAAATGGACAAATGTTGAGCTTCTAGTATGCACCAGGCACCATCCCAACTGTTAACACAGTGACTGTGCAAAAAGATAGCACTGTCCCCATTTTACAGAAGAGAAAACGACCGGAGAAGCTGAGTAGGTTCCTCAAGTTCACACTAGTAAAACACCATGCTTCTGTCATTTGCCATGTGCTTCTCAATTGCTTCTGCTTAGTTAGCTGCTTCCAAGTGGAAGCAACTTTAAAAATCCAAACTCCACCTACCACTTTATACACCAGTGGAGCTCTGTGGATTCCCTCTTAGCTGACTCGCCAAACAAAAGGTTATGCCAGCTGGCCCTGCCCCCTGGGCTAGGGGATTCAAAGCCAGGCAGAGGCCATAAGCAGGCCCATCTTTCTCCATCCTCCCAGCTTTTTAATGCCAAGAGACCTGCCAAGAGGCATTCAGCCTGCCGAGAGACCAAAACAGCATCACTTTCAAGGGTCCCAGAGTGAGCTCCGTTTGCTGGTCTCTCAGAAGCCAGGACTCTTCAAAGCTTTCAAATGATAACAATACTGCTTCATCGTTTGCAAAATACTTTCAACACTGCTGATTATGCATACTTACATATATGATGCATTTATGCGCTTATACAGATGGTACTGATTTCATTCTCGCAACCTGTCAGGAAAGATATTTTCCAGAGGAGGAAACTGGCCCTGAGAGATGAAGAGCCTGTAGACATAGCAGTTTAGCCAAAGTGTCTGCCCTCTCACAGGGTGGCAAATTATATTTGGAAAGTGAATGTGAGGCACTGTTTCTTTTAACATCATTACACCCTGATTTGTCCTTTCCACTCTTGCTCCTCTCAACATCCTTTGAGGAAGACATGTTAGGAGGCTGAATGAGCTGATTTTAAATAGAAAAAAAATGGAGTGAGAGTCCTGAGTTAATCTTAGTTCTCTAGGATCTGCCACTCCCAAGCTGGGCAGCCCCTCCCTTCAAAAGTTTTCACTTCTGCCATTTAAAACGACTTGAAAGGGGGGAAATTTTTGAAATTAAAGCTACCTCTCTGTATCACCTGAATGCCACAAATCCAGAAAGTTCTCTTCCATTTCCTCTGGGCCTCAAGTTGGCTCATCAGCCCAGCAGACACATTGTTACCCATCTCCATTGACCATCTTACAGCAATACCATGTTGTTACCATGATCTCCTTGCAAAATAGCTCTCTCCAACACCTGCACATTATTTCCTCATACATTCCTTTTAATCCACTTAGTCAAGATGCAACTCAAACCAGCACAGTCCACTCATGTTCCAAAACATGGAGATGTGGGCACCAGTCCCGGCTGTGTCACTACCTTATCCCTTCTAGATACAGCCAACATGTGCCTGCTTACCTCACAGGCCAGAGTGAGAAGCAAACTAAATCAAATACGTGAAAGCACTTTGAACAGTTGTAAAACACTACAGGAAAGAGAGGTGTGAGAGTAGTCAGAGACAGACGTGGTTGCCATACTTATAATCCCAGCTATTTGGGAAGGCTGAGGCAGGAGGACTGCAACCTTTAGCCCACCCTGAGCTATTTAGTGAGACCATATCACAGTTTCTTTAAAAATTCATTTTAAAAAACTTTTAAGAAAAGAGCTAGAGTTGTACCTCAGTGTGAAGGCTCTGGCTAGGTTCAGTCCCCTGTACCACCAGGGGAAAAACAAAACAATAGTCAGTGGTTGGTAAAATAGGGGAACAGAGGGAGGGATTCCTTTTTTTTTTGTAATTCAGTGCTTGACAACTTTTAAAGCTTTTTATATGAAATTTTTCAAATATTTGCAAAATAGTATGTGAGAAATATAATGAACCTGTTTACCTATTAGCTTCAACAATTATCAACCCCTCAGTAATCTTAATTCCTACATACCTCCTTTATGTTATTAAGGAATTGTTAGTTTTTTTGGTATATAATGGTATTGCAATTTTTTAAAAAAGAAGGGTCTCTGTTGTCCAGGCTGGTGAGAAAACCCGTGGGTTTTAGCAATCCTCCAGTCTCAGCCTCTCAATAGCTGGGACTACAGGCATGCACCACTGTGCCAGGCTTGTGATTATATTTTTAAAGGGGGAGTTTTGATCTTTTGGAGATACCTTCTGAAACATTTGTAGATGAAAGGAGATGATCCCTAGAATCATAACTTCACTGTAATCCCTTCTCCTCCAATGCTTTCTCAATCCATCTTCTAAATACCACCACCAGCCAGGAAGTTTGTGGCATGATTTTCTTTGTGTGTTGAAACAACCAGCAAAAGAGAATTATGCCCAGTGGAATCTGAGAACTGGGTTACATGTCTATCTGCTAGGCCACAAATGTCTCTAGGAAGCACAAAGCACAGGGGACAAATGAAGGTGGAGTCAAGATACTCTGGTGGTACAGTACTCTGACAAGTATATGTGAAAGGATAATGAACAGCCAGACTCTTTTCCCAACTAATAACAAATCCCTCAAAAAGAACAGAACTAAGCAATGTCATAGGCTAGCATAGTCCAGTATGGTAACAGAAATAGTACTAATAGCTACTGTGCATTAATCACTACTATATACTAAGAAGAGCTTTACATTCACTATTCCTAATCCTTACAACTGCTCAGGGGAGATATTATCATAGCCTGAATTTGTAGATGAGGAAATTGAGGCTCAAAGAAGTAATGTCCCAAAGATCACTCAGCTCTGAGAGGGCTTGGATCCCAGGTCAGCCTAACTATGAAAACTGCAGTGTCTCTAGGAAGCACAAAGCACAGGGGACAAAAGAGATAGGATCAAGGCACTGGTGGCACAGTGCTCTGGGGATAATCTGTCCCCTTTCTCTGTCCAAGTTTTGAGCAACAATTCCACCAGCTTTGTCTGTGAGGCCCTTCAGAACGTCTGAGACATGCTCACTAGGGGGAAGATCCCCTATTCAGAAACCCACCTTTCCCAAGGCCCTCACCCTCAACCTGCAGGGGAACATTCCTGCCCCCAATGCCAAATCCGCCTGCTCTCCCATTCAGCCCTAGCTGACCTTTGTCCAAACAAATCTTTTAATTTCCGCATTCCAGCCTCTCACTCAGAGTTTCATGCGTGGTTCCCAAACCAACGTCCCTCTGGGGGTTGGGTATTTAGCTCAGTGGTTTTGCCGCCTGCTGCTCAAGCGCAAGGACCCAAGTTCAACCCCTGGTACCAAAAACAAACAAACAAACAAACAAAAACAAAAAACAAAGTCCCTCTGGGCTTACTAGGCCTTCCAGAGCAACTAAAACCAGACCTGGGCCATGAGGACAGGGGCTGAGAAGAGAGGTTCCCACCTTACCTCTGAGGTCCTTTAACACTCAGAGAAACAGATACAGCCTCTATTACCCTAGTGCCCTTAGACCTGGCTGGGAGGCTTTGAGAGATTTGTAGAATGACTTCTTTGCCACTTTTATGTAATCTCCCTCCCCCTTTCCTTGTCTATCTTCTTGGGTGAGTTCCACCCCACCTCCAGCTTTCCTGATCACATATATGCTGATGGCTATCAT